CATGGTGTTTCCCAAATTCTCCATTGAAATACGGTTTGATCCTCTGTCCATTCACTACGAACAACTCGCCATTCGCCGGATTTCGAAGTCGAATGGCTCCAAGTGATAACACTTCATCAATCACGTAAGGTCCGCTCCAACGGGACTTAAGCTTACCCGGAAAGAGCCGAAGCCGGGAGTTGAATAATAGTACCTTCATGCCGGGCACAAGAGTTTTCCGGACAATGGATGAATCGTGAAGCCTCTTGGTCTTTTCCTTGTAAATTTTTGCGTTCTCGTACGCTTCATCCCTCAACTCTTCAAGCTCCGAGAGTTGCAACATTCTTTCCTTTCCGGCGGCATCAAGATCAAAGTTCATCTTCTTAATGGCCCAAAATGCCTTGTGCTCGATCTCGACTGGAAAGTGGCATGCCTTTCCATAGACAAGCCAGAACGGGCTCATCCCCAAAACTCCTTTATAAGCTGTGCGTTGGGCCCAGAGTGCATCATCAAGCCGGCTCGACCAATCTTTTCGAGACGAGTTCACCGTTTTCTCGAGAATGGTCTTGATTTGTTTGTTGCTCGTCTCAGCTTGGCCCGAAGTTTGTGGGTGGTATGGGGTGGCCACTTTGTGAGAAATCCCGTACTTCTTCATCAACTTCTCAAACACTCGGTTGCAGAAATGTTTTCCCCCGTCACTCACAATAGCTCGTGGAAATCCGAACCTACTTAAGACATGACTTTGCAAAAACTTGATCACAACGTTAGCATCACATGTCCGAGTGGGGATAGCCTCAACCCACTTTGACACGTAATCCACAGCAAGAAGTATATACTCAAAGCCAAAAGACTTGGGAAATGGCCCCATGAAATCAATGCCCCACACATCAAAGATTTCAACTTGTAAATTGCTCATCAGGGGCATCTCATTTCTTGGGCCAATGTTCCCAATTCTTTGACAACGGTCACAAGATTTGCAAAAGTTATAAGCATCTTTAAAAAGAGTTGGCCAAAATAAACCTGATTGGAGGACTTTGAAAGCGGTCTTACGGCCTCCATAATGTCCTCCACAATGAAGCTCGTGGCAGAAGGTAAGGACATCCAATTGCTCCTCTTCGGGCACATACCTCCGAAGAATGTCATCTTTTCCCATCTTTAAAAGGAATGGGTCGTCCCAAAAATAGCTCCTACACATCAAAACAAACCGTTTCCTCTCTTGGGAAGAGAGGTTAGCCAACAAAACACCATCTGACAAATAGTTCACTATGTCTGCATACCAAGGCACATTATCCACTTCATTTGCATGTTCATATAGAAAATCATCATTTATGCCTACATGCTCATGCGATGCAAGTGAAGGATCAGAAGGAACAATGCGAGACAAGTGGTCAGCAACAACATTTTCACAATCCTTCCTATCCCGAATTTCGACATCAAACTCTTGCAACAACAAAATCCACCTAATAAGTCTAGGTTTCGATTGAGTTTTACTCAAAAGATACCTAAGAGCTGCATGATCAGAATGCACAATCACTTTAGACCCCAAGATGTAGGATCTAAATTTTTCAAGAGAAAACACAACAGCTAATAACTCTTTTTCGGTGGTCGTGTAATTCAATTGGGCACCATTTAGGGTCAAGCTAGCGTAATAAATTACACGAAGCAAGTTATCAACTCGTTGGCCCAAAACAGCTCCCACAACAAGGTTCGATGCATCACACATAATCTCAAAGGGCAAAGACCAGTCAGGTGCAATCACAATAGGAGCAGTCACAAGCTTATTTTTCAATTTATCAAAAGCATCTAAACATGCATCATCAAACACGAATGGCACATCATTGGCAAGCAAGTGACACAAGGGCTGGCTGATTTTTGAAAAATCTTTAATAAATCGTCAATAAAAGCCAGCATGCCCTAAGAAACTCCTAACTCCTTTCACATTCACAGGCGGGGGAAGTTTTTCAATAACATCAACTTTTTCTTTGTCAACCTCAATCCCCCCACTCGACACTACATGACCAAGCACGACTCCACTAGTCACCATGAAATGACTTTTCTCCCAACTCAATGTCAAGTTAGATTCAATACACCTCTCAAGAACACGAGATAAATTATGGAGACAATCAGAAAATGAAGTGCCAAAGATGGAGAAGTCATCCATAAATACCTGTAGGCAATCCTCGAGCATATCTGAGAATATGGAGAACATGCACCGTTGGAAAGTTCCGGGTGCATTGCAAAGACCGAAGGGCATACGTCTGAAGGCAAATGTGCCGAATGGGCACGTAAAGGTAGTCTTGGGCTGGTCCTCGGGAGCTATGGCCACTTGGTAGTAGCCCGAGAGTCCGTCGAGAAAGCAGTAGAACTGGTGGCCCGAGAGTCGGTCGAGAATCTAATCAATGAATGGCAATGGAAAGTGGTCCTTCTTCGTCACGGCGTTGAGTCGCCGGTAATCAATACACATTCGCCACCCGGTAGTGATTCGGGTGGGGACCATCTCCTTCTTCTCGTTTTCGATTACCGTGATGCCCCCCTTCTTCGGCACCACATGGATGGGGCTAACCCATTCATTGTCGGCCACTGGATAGATGAGCCCTTCGGAGTAGAGCTTCAACACCTCCTTTTTCACGACCTCCATCATGTTCGGGTTGAGCCGTCGCTGGCTATCCCGAAATGGCCTGGAACCCTCCTCCAACACGATCCGGTGCATACAAGTGGAAGGGTTGATTCCCTTTATGTCACCTAGGCTCCAACCGATGGCCTTTTGATTCTTCTTAAGCACCTCGATCAGCTCCTTCTCTTCTTCTTGATTAAGCTTGGCAAATATAATAACCGGCTTTTGTTTCTCATCATCGAGGAAAACGTACTTGAGGTGGCGTGGCAACTCTTTTAGCTCCAGTGTTGGTGGGGCCTTCGGTCTTGGTTCCTCGACCTCCATTAGCTCAACAAACGGTCCTTCTTCCTCTTCGAGATCGGGCAATGACCTCTCTTCCAAGTCTCGTATGGCCATCTCCTCGACAAAAGGATCACTCATATCAACGAACGAACACTCCTCCACAAAGTTCGCCGAAGGGCCAGATGTGGCCTCTCGGACAGAGATAGATCCGGACTCGCCTAGGACCGTCATGTTCAAGATCCCGTTCTTGACATCAATGAGAGTGTTGGTGGTGGCCATAAATGGCCTGCCGAGAAGGATAGTGTGGTCCTTGCCGTTCTCGTGAATGTCCCCCACATCTAATACGACAAAGTCTACCGGGACAATGAGTCTCCCGACACGAACAAGGACATCCTCAACTACCCCCTTGGGGTATCTAATCGAACGGTCCGCAAGCTGAAGACACATACGAGTGGGTCTCAAATCTCCTAAACCAAGCCGCTGGAAGATAGAAAACGGCATTAGGTTGATTCCCGCTCCGAGGTCTAGCATCCCCGAAGCTTCCTTTCCATTCCCAAGAGCAATCTTTATCACGAAGCCTCCTGGGTCCCGTTCTTTCTTTGGAAGATCATGCTGCATGGCACTCGCTGCCTCATAAACTACCACTTTCTCCCCATCCCCGAATTTCCTCTTCTTCGTGACCAAATCCTTGAAGAACTTCACGTAAGAAGGCATGTTCTTGATCACGTCCAAGAGAGGTAGGTTGACATTGACCTTTGAGAGCATGTTGTAGAGATCTCGAAACTGTTGCTCTTGCTTCTCGTCTCGGAGTCTACTCGGAAAAGGAATGCGTGGTTTGTAAGGATTTGGAGACTTGTGAAGCAAAGGACTCTCCGTTGGTTTTCCCGAGTCGTTTTCTGTGCTCTTCGTACTCTCCTCGGTTTCTTTGGGCTGGTCGGTTGGTTTGAGGCTGTCAGGCTCGGGCATCCTCACTTTGTTGTCCACTTCCTTCCCGTTCCTCAACACTGTTATTGCCTTGGCTTGCTCAGGCTGGCTCGGAAGTTTCCCTTTGTCTGACCCCCGCTTCCATATTGCTAACTCTAGTGGCAAGTTGGCCCACTTGCGTCTCAAGACGCTTAATGGACGAGTTCTGGTTGGTGATGAACTGAAAGATCTTGTCTAGCTTGTCATCTTGGTTCGACGAGCTCGAACCGGACTCTTGGGCTTGTTGTTGTGGTTGTTGCTGTTGTTGGTAATTAGGACGAGGGATGAAATTGGGACGAGGTTGTTGTTGCATGAAGTTTGGACGGGATTGCTGCTGGGTGAAGTTTGGACGAGGTGGCTGGAGAGTGTTGTTGTTGTTTGACCACGAGAAGTGTGGGTGGTTTCTCCACCCAGGATTGTAAGTGTTGGAGAAGGGGTCGTTTGGCTGCCGGTTCTGATATCCTTGGAGAGCGTTGACATCGGTGTATTGCTCTCCAAGCTCCTGATCGAAAGCTGACGGGCACACCTCCGACCGATGTCCTTGGGCTCCACACGCCCCGCACGTGTCCACTGCCATAGTCTGGGCTGGCTGCATTGTCCGAGCATTCATCAACCGCATTTGTTCCGTAAGCTCGGCTATCTGATGGGCCATCATGTCTCGCCCCGAAGATACTTCATTTACCACTGCTCTCTTTCCTCGACTGCTCTTTTGAGACGAGCTAGAGCTCAACGCCTCAAAAATATCCATCATCTCCTCCGCTGTTCTTGCCCCAATGTCTCCACCCGCTGCATTGTCCACCATGTATTGGAGGTTCTGGTGGAGAGAATCATAGAAGCCGTTCATCAAAAGGGCTGGAGGAAGATTGTGATGTGGGCACTGCCTCTGTAGGTCCTTGAAGCGTTCCCACGCTTCGTGAAGTGGCTCGTGCGGCTGTTGGGCAAAAGAAACGATTTGCGACCGCAGCTCTTGAGTTTTCTGGTGGGAGTAATACCTCCCGATGAACTTTGTGTACACTTGCTCCCAAGTGGTAAGAGAGTCTGGAGCAAGTGTCATCAGCCACGCCTTAGCCCGATCCTTGAGTGTTTCCGGAAAACACCTCATTTTCAGCTGGTCCTCATTCAATCCGTGGAGTGGAAACGTTTGGAGGACATTGTAGAACTCACGCATGAAATGAAGTGGGTCCTCATTGGGAAGACCATGGAAGGAGGGGAGCTGGTTGTAGTGGATGGTTTTGAGCTCGTAGTTCCGAGCTGCTGTCCCCAATCGTATGCACGAAGTCACCGGCCCAATCACTGGTTGAGCCAAATCGCGAAGAAGAGACTTAGCCGGGTTGTTGACTTCTTCTTCTTGGTCGTTCTGTGCCATGTCGGTTTGGTCTTCTGATGTAGATGATACTGGTGCGAGACTATCTAGTAAGTCTCGTAGGTCCTGTTCATGGATTCGTTGTCTGGAATGATTACACGACCACTCCTGGTACGCATAAACACAAACAACAAAAACGTCAAGGGCACCAGATAAATACAAAATGAACGAAGAGAGAGACCAGATAAAGAGAACAATAAAACTAGACAAAGAAAAACAAAACATAAGAAACACAAAAAACAAGAAATCACAGAAAATAAGAGAAACACTGAAAATAAATGAATAGGCGCACAAAATAAGTCCTAAACCTTCCCCGGCAACGGCGCCAATTTGTTGTTAATATTTTTACCGGAGTAGAATCCAAAGATTCGACACCGGGTCGTATCACGAGGAAGGTTAGCCGGATTATTTTATGCGGATATTCGATCACAAGAAACGAGAAAAGAAGTCCTAAACACTCTAATTCAAGATTGATGGTTTGATTTAACGACTACTAATAGTAAAGCAAGTGATTATGAAAGCAAAACAATAAATTCTAAATTTATCAATTAAACACAAATTCCAATAGTTTAAAGGGACTAGGGTATCGGGGACAATCGTATCCGGTTCTCAATACATTAAACGGGCAATCAATTACTCAGCTAATGAACAAACAATAACCAATTCATCTAGAAATTCATTCTCAATATCTCACGAAACAAGAGAATAAACATAAACGAACAATTATCGAATTCATTAGCACATAGACAATACGTTTCCGAACAAGTCTATTCTAAACAAGCCGAGGTCGATCGATTTCTCCCCTTTCGGTTCTAAAATCGATTAAGTAGATTAAATGATGATCAGACATTCAACCCTAGGTTTAGCCTAACTCATCTAGATCGAGCAATCAACATTCACATCAACGAAATCGAACCGGAACAATTATCCCCTAACCCTAGTTATCGAATTTAGCTACTCATAATTGATTCAACATCAATACATTCATCAACCCAAGCAAACATTATCATATCAAATAAGAAAAGAAGTGCTTACGATTAATTCGAATCCAATGTTGAACAAACACGAGCAATCCAAAATCCAAACGAAAATTGGAGTTTTTATGCTCCAAGATCAAATCCAAGATGAAAAGTAAGAAGTCAAGTGTGTTCTAGGGTAAAAGCTGCTCAAAACAAGGTCTGAATGACCAAAAAAATGCCCCCCAATCGATATAGTGCACTTCCCATTTCAAAATCCATGAAATCCGCGATAGACATAAAACAGACCTTAGCGGCGCTAAGGGGTTAGCGCCGCTAAGGCATCTTAGCTGCCCAGCTCTGCCCGCTGCCTAGCCTCGAAGCGCCGCTTTCCACAGGGCCTTAGCGGCGCTAAGGCTCCTTAGCTACCGACTTCTGTTCTCGTTGAACTCCAAAGCGCCGCTAACACACGGGCCTTAGCGGCGCTAAGGCTCCGTTGGTCCAAGAATGAGGTCTTTTTCAACGGCTCGTGTGTTCGGCTTCGTCGCTCGGGTACTGCCCGAGCTGGGAACTCGATCCCCGTACGCTTGGCCCACAGAAATGCTGCTCAAATCATCCACTTCTTATCATGTTTGAACACTCGCCAGCCCGATCATCATACAACCTGAAATCGCACCACCGAACAAAACACGAAAACAAGAGAAAATAGGAGGAAAAAGCAACAGAAAAACTATACAACCTAAAATGAAGATAAAAGCATAAGAAAGGACTAGACGGACCGAAAAGACCTAAGAAAAGACCTAAAACGGGGGAAACGAAACACAGAGTATCAAAGAAAATAGTAACAAAAACGGGACAAACACTTAACGTACGTTCTTGCTCTCCCGCCATTTCTTCTTCCTCGCTTGAAGAATCAGAATGACCAGCGTTTTTAGACTCGCTGGAAGAACTGTGGTAATCGACAATTTCCGGATAGTCCTGTTCTCGGTTTTCGTGCGTTTCTTTTGCCAGCCTTGCTAGCCTCCGATTTTCTTTATCATTTCTTGTGATTTTCGAGTCGTACGTCAGTGGGTTTTTGCCAGAGATCTCGTGTTCATCAGCTGAAAGAAAAACCGAGATATAAGTATCGAACGTGGCCAAATATATCAAAAATAATACGTTCTGAAGCAATTCTGCACACAGAGTACTGGGGGTGCCCAGTAGTGCTGGGTGCAGAATTTAAAAGCAAATAAATTACAGAAAAACGAAAAAGGGGGGGTTTTCTGATTTTTTTTAAACTGAAGCTAATAAATAAATAAAATAAAAAAATATAATCCTAATTTCAATTAATGAAAAATAAATAACAACTTAATTCTGTCACTCC